ACCTCCAGCAGAAATATAGGCCCACAACATCAAAAATACAGCAGTATATTTCATTGTACACATGGGGTACTTTTATCCGTGTTCACCAAACCCATCTTGAGGGTTTGCTGCTAAAAATATATCATTTTGACATAAATGTTTTTCTCAAATACATGTTGGACACAATTATTGAAATTAGAAATTCTTATGAGTAAAATATCGGTGAAGTATATTTCCATTCATATTTACAATTTTGAGTATACCAGGGTGATTATGAACATGAGATTATCCAGCCATGGCTTCCTGTTACACAGGAATATAAATAGGAGGGAAAACAAAGGCCAAATGCTCTCATCCAAAAACAATCCCCAGCATATTCTGTTGTCAGACACGACTGGAACTTCAAATGGGACTGGCTTCTACGGTCAGATGTAACTAAAATATTAGCTTTTCAGCAACAAACACTCAAGATGGGTTTGGTGCACACGGGGATAAAAATTACCCCATGTGTACAATGAAATATACTGCTGTATTTTTAATGTTGTGGGCCTATATTTCTGCTGGAGGTCCTGGACATCTTGTTTAGATACATGGCATCTTTGATTCCATCAAATACCAACAGATAAAAAATCAAAAAGTGACTGACTCTGTTAGAAATCTTATAATGGGCCATGTTTGGATCTTCAAACTGGACAATAGTCCAAAAACAAACCTTAAAAACAACACAAAAATGGGTCACTGGTCACAAAACCAAGCTTCGTGCAGATTAATTTTCACAGCCTTCTTTGATCATATTTACCAAGGGAGCCGATATTTTTGGCCATGACTGTACCAGTACTACTCGATTGAAATCAGTGGATTTAATCAAGTTCCTTAAATGAACTTCTCCATCACTGCATGTAAATGTCAGAGAAACCGGATAATACCAGGTATAAATAGGGTCTCGGATGTTATTAATACTCTTAAAAATCTGACTTGTGTTTGGACAATTTCTTAGGAGCCCTTCACGCCTTCGGAGGAGCACGTCCTTGTTGTGCGTCTCCTGGTCAAGCATCTGCACGCCTTCTCCAGCAGCCTGAAGCAGGAGTCAATCTCCTCCTCACCCTCTGCCCACTCCCACAGCAGTCCACTGGAAGAGCTCAAGCGGTGGGTTTTTATCTCTGTCACCTCACCCAAAGAATCAGGCTATAGAACTAAAACATCTGTAAATCTAAGCAGGCATGTCGTAAAGAGGAGCTATTCACCCGATCAGGCACCAGGGACTTGATTGAGCTGTCTTCTGTTTTACTGCTCTGTCAATAAGCCTCCACTCTCTGTCTCCCTTAGTGTGGTGGTACAGAGGTTTGTCCAGCAAAAGCTGTATGTCTTCCTACAACACTGCTTTGGTCACTGGCCTTTGGACGCCTCATTCAGAGCGGTAAATGTCTTTGAGTGCACCCTGATGTTTGGACCCTATTTTTATACGTTGGCAATAAACATTATGCACTGTTCAAAACATAGTGAGGGCTAAATGATGTATTCAATTTAATGCAATGTGTTTGTTTTGTTGTTTAGGTACTAGAGACATGGCTTAGTTACGTTCAACCCTGGAGATACACTGGAGAAAAAAACAACATGCAAGCAGACGGCCAGAACAGAATTGTTCCCGACAAATGGTATTTTATATATTAGGTGCTTGTTAAAAGATTACATGCACTACTGTTCAATAGTTTATACTTTTATTCTTCAGGAATGCATTAAATTGATCAAAAGTGACAGTAAAAACAATAATATATAAAAATCTAATAAATGAAACCTTGGTTAACATTCAACATGATAGTTTGTAACGTTCAGATCAGTGTTTACCAACAGGGTCCTTGTCATTCACAGGGCCTCATTTGTGCAGGAGAATCTGCTTATGTACACTAAGCTTTTCCAGGGCTTCTTGAATCGAGCCATGCGCACAGACTTAGTCAATGCCAAAAACGCCCTGATGGTCTTTAGGGTCGCCAAAGTCTTTGTTCAACCAAACCTGTCAGAGATGATCCAGAAGGGTAAGTGAGAAAGATTTTATTATATGATATGATATATTGCTTTATTATGAGAATTTGAATCTCCAGCTGAGCAGTTGTTCTTGGAGCCAGAGCATGCCATCCTGCAACGACAGAACCGTGTCTTCCTGACACCTTCACATGGTGTCAGCTTCCTCTCTTCTCGTCAGCCAGTGAGGACAGACAGCGTCTTCAAAGTCAAAAGTCATGTTTACAGCCTGGAAGGGCAAGACTGCCAGTACAACCTGATGTTTGGTCCTGATCTACGGAAGAATGTAAGCTGACAGTTAATTCTAGATCTAATTAGTGCTAAAAATCAGTGTTGAGCAGTCATGTTATCATGAAACAGAAAAGGATATTATAGACCATGATTACTTCTGTCAATTCCAGGTGCTAAAGCTCATCCAGATTATCGCCCAAGCCCGACAGACAGCTAAACGGATATCAGATCATTCCACTGAAATGGCTGCAAACAACTCTTTTCTCTCATGGTTTGCCGTTGGCTCTTCAGATCATAACAACACCTTTACCGGAGGAGAGATGGACGATATGGGAGAGGGTGTGAAGAAAACTCATGAGTTCCTGGACAAAGCCCTGGACTACCTGTGTCAGATATTCCGGGTTAGTCTATAACTGCTTTTATTTAGGATGTATGTCTGTTCTCCCTTTGTCTGCGTGGGTTTACGCCGGGTGCTCCGGTTTCCTCCCAAAGCCCAAAGACATGCAGGTGAGGTTAATTGAACATTCTAAAATTGTCCCCGGACGTGTGTGTAAAGACAAGACTTGTGTATGGATCGACTTGTGTATGGATTAACTGGTTCTCGCCATGAATATAGCCATAGATGCTGGATTGGCATTAAGAAAGAAATAAACAAACAAACAAACATTTAGGATGTATGTCATAAGTTACCGTTCAAAAGTTTGGGATCGGTTAAAATTTTAAAAATGCATTTGAAAGTCTCACCGAAGCTTCAATTATTTGATCAAAAATACAATAAAAACAGTAATAATGTAATTTATTCCTGTGAAGGCAAAGCTGAATTTTTAGCAGCCATTACAGCGTGACTTTAGTGCCACATGATCCTTCAGAATTGTTCTGATGCTTATTGCAGAAAATGTGATTCTTTGATTAATCGAATGAACAGCATTAATTTTAAAATCGCAACATTATAAATGTCGTTACCATCACTTTTGATCAGTTTCATGTCTTTGCTTATTTTAAGGGTTAGTTCACCCAAAAATTAAAACTGTTTTTAATTACTCTCCCTCATGTCGATCCTAACCCATAATACTTTCTTTCATTGGTACACAAATTAAGATATTTTTGATGAAATCCGAGAGCTTTCTGACCCTCCATAGACAGCAACGCAACTACCACGTTAAAGGCCCAGAAACATAGTTAGGACATCGTTAAAATAGTCCATGTGACATCAGTGGTTCAACTGTAATTTTATGAAGCTACGAGAATACTTTTTGTGCATAAAGTAAACAAAAATAACAACTTTATTCAGTAATTTCTTCTCTTCCGTGTCTGTCTTCGCTGTGCAACAGTACCACGACTGATGTCACATATACTATTTTAATGATGTGTTTACTATATTTCTGGGCCTTGAATGTGTCAGTTGCGTTGCTGTCTATGCAGGGTCAGAAAGCTCTTGGATTTCAGCAGAAATATCTTAATTTGTGTTGCGAAGATGAATGAAGGTCTTACAGGTTTGAAACGACATGACAATGAGTAATTAATGACAGAATTTTCATTTTTGCGAGTACTATCACTTTAAGTATTTATTTCTTTCAAAAAAAAAAAAACTTTTTTTCAGACCTCAGGCTTTTGAACAGTAATGCATATTTTTATTTAAAAATATACAGTTATAAACAGTTAATTTTGTTTCATATGTTGTACAGTTGAATGCAGGGCAGCTGTCTCAGCTGATGGTCAATGTGGCGTCTGTAGATGATGAAGGGGCATCTAAACAACTGCCAGACTGCATCCCAAGTGAAAATGGCTTTGTTTTAACAGACCTGGGCAGGTTGCAGGTGAGTTTTAGTGTGCCAGTCTTCTTCAACATATTCATTTTGCTAGTCATAACAGTAATATTCCCAAAATTCGATTTCATATTTTTTTCAGATCATCAGTGGTCTTCGCAGATTTGAAATTGAATATCAAGGAGATCCAGAGCTTCAGCCTATTAGGAGCTATGAAAATGCTTTTTTGGTTCGACTGATGTTCCAGATCTCATCCTTTATTAATGCAAGAGTAAGAATATTGCTTAGCCCCATGGTTCCCAACCCTGGTCCTGGAGGCACCCCAACACTGCACGTTTTGCATGTCTCCTTTTTCTGACACCAATTTCAAGTCTTGAAGTCTCTACTAATGAGCTGATGACCTGAATCAGGTGTGTTTGATTAAGGAGGCATGCAAAACGTGCAGTGTTGGGGTGCCTCCAGGACCAGGGTTGGGAACCACTGGCTTAGCCTACAGTTTCATCCGAAAATGAACTTCATTATGGTCATTAATGTATTCTTTTCATGCGTTTCACTTTAATCAAATGTGACAATATTGGTTGTGTCCTATAGTTTGGAGACCACATGGAAGCGCTGTGTTCTCGACAGGACCTCCTGGGCAGTATAGGACGACACTACCTGAGCAGTTCCTCAAAAGTGGCGGAGCAGCGGCGGAAGAGTCCGGTGCCGCGGCAGAGGAGGGATCGTCCTCAGCGAGCCCGTCTCAGCCTGCGGGTGCTGGCCAGCTATCGCACCCTCCTCATCCTCCTCCTGCTCTACATGCTGTTTGCACTACTATCATTCGGTACTCTCTCCAGCACTGGACTCGTTCTCATCGTCAGCTTTCTATATGAGCTCCTGTTGATTTCTTTCATGAAAAACTAAAGACTAAGTAAAGGAAGATTCATGATGCCTTTTTTTATATTTAATTTTTTTAATGTCAATGCTAAACTTCTAGCGACCTGTTCCCATTAAGGTTTTTATATACAGTTATTTGCACTGCAGGTGTATTGGTACATTTAATGACAAAAATTGAACGGGGAATGTCGTATCTAATGCACAGTGTTTTTTTGTTTTTTTTTCCAATGAGAGGTGGTTAATCCAGCTTTCCAGTCATTAAATTCATTTATAATGGTGTGTTTTTGCCAATGTGACCGTCAGAACAATCCAAAGTTTGCACTTAACTGACTGCATTTCATTAAATGGACATAATGAATGTCTAATTTGTGTACTAGATTTCCATTGCTGTAGAAACTTGGATGTGTAGCACATCTCCAGGGAATTTTACATCGAATGAAGTATTGAATTGACTGTTAAATCTGTTATATCCCAGCAGAATTAGAGGAAGTAGTGCTGTTACTATAGCAGCCACTACAATATTAAAAGTTCCAGTGGGAGAGAACGGAGTGTACAGTCTTTGAAAACAAATCAGCTCTTTCTATGACAATGTGTATAGGCACTTTTAGGATTTTGGGTAAAACACGAGTTATGGCGCTGCGTGGTAGTGATACGTCATCCTTGTGAGTACACGTATGTGACGTAGTGCTGCAGTGAATCGAGCGAACTTGTTTCACAGCGAAATGGATACACGTGTAGCTTCGCTGCAGAGGAATATTGATTTCTTACAAAGAAACTTGCACGGTGAAATAGATATTTTAAAACGGGAAAATAAAGGTAAATTTATGTTCCCTTACATGTTATAGAAATAATGGGGTAAAACACGAGTTATGGCGCTGCGTGGTAGTGATACGTCATCCTTGTGAGTACACGTATGTGACGTAGTGCTGCAGTGAATCGAGCGAACTTGTTTCACAGCGAAATGGATACACGCGTAGCTTCGCTGCAGAGGAATATTGATTTCTTACAAAGAAACTTACACGGTGAAATAGATATTTTAAAACGGGAAAATAAAGGTAAATTTATGTTGCATTCCCTTACATGTTATAGAAATAATGTTTGGGCCTTTTAATGAACGATACATTCATGAGAACTAAGTGTGCTTCTATTATATGTAAACTAGTGTGCAACAATTATATATTTTTTTCTTGTGCTTCATAGATGGTATTTGTCCGTGTACTTTCAACAAACTTTATTGTTCTTACTGTATTTGACGTAATTCTCTGAAAATGGGACTAGATTAATAATGTTGCCTGTTTTGCTGTTATAATCTCTCTACTTGCCTAAATGTATCAGTTAAAAGCATAGTTCACCCAATTCTGTCATGTACTCACACTAAGACCTGTAGGAATTTATTTTGAAATACAAATGAAATGTTAGGCGGAATGACAGGGTCAGTCTTCATTCACTTCCACTCTAAGTAAAGTTGCAATGAAAGTGAATGGAGACTCGGGCTGTAGTCATCTCTTTTTCAGTGAATGAAAGACTTGCAGGTTTGAAGCAACACGAGAGTGAGTAAATGATGACAGAATGTGCATTTTGAGGTTTAATGAGGATGGGGTGTATATCAGAGCTGATACTCTAGTGTAGTACAGGTTGCCTGGTGACATCGAGTTTGCTGAATGAGGAAAATGAAAGAATGGCGTTTGTAACCTCTGGTTGGCAAAGGATCATTTTACTCAGACAAACGTTTTGGTGTTTTGTTTCTGACTGTCGAAAGGAGATTTGTTGTTAAGGTATTTTGCTTACAACAACGTGAAAGAAATAACAGTTTTGAATTTTCAGTTTCAAGATTTTTTTTATTACTGTTAATATTTTCCTGAAAAGCCATTAAATATACCGTAAGGTATTTTATGTAATGATATGCTTCTGAAAATGTCATAATTGTAAAATATAAATCAGTATCTTTAAACGTATTCCCACTGAAACAACTTATCCCATATAATGGACATTGTCACAAAAAGTGACTGTCCTGTTCGTAAGTGGAAATAGTTCATTAGGTTTCTGGTTGTCAGTGCTATAAGATATGATACTAATGACATCCAAAAAAAAACTATTCTTACAAATATTCAACAAAGTAACAAGCGTGACGTCTAGCCCTGGTCTTTTAACGTGACACATTGAATTTGATATATCATATGATGCAGTGAGATTCAGGCAGAAAAAAAGTCTTTCAATAAAGTTGTATTTTATTTGAATATAAAATCATAAATGACAATAGCAGAAAATAAATTGAGTTTAATCTGTAAAATCATAACACTCCAAAATATCTAAGAGATCACCAAGTTGTCTAAATAATTTGAGGATCTAAGCGTCTGAGTATAAGCTTCAAAAGACAAAGGCCTTTGCAGCATGAGCGCTCTCTCTCTCTCTCTCTCTCTCTCTCTATAAAGCAGAAGAACTTACATCCTCCTACAACATTACCATGATGTTGTGAATGTTAAACGGATTAATCAATTTTGTCATTATCTGCGTATTGTCAAACATTTAAGACGAATTAAGTAAGGACTAGGTCACATTGACATGACCCATGAAAAGCTACAGGTGTGAAAATAGAGATATGAATTGTGGTTTTACACCCTTCTAGCAGAAACGGGTTAGCAATCACTTTGCAAATACCAGCTCTTGGAAAGAACATCTAGTACCAAAAAGGCAAATTCACAAGAACATCCTTTACATATAAAATATAAAAAAAGGTGTTTATCATCTTACCAAAACATTCTTTTACCATAACAAAATGTACCTTTTTTATGTCAAACCAACGAAAAATATACTACATCTACGGAATAAAAATCATTCTTTTACCATAACAAAATGTACCTTTTTTATGTCAAACCAAAGAAAAATATACTACATCTACGGAATAAAAATAAGAAATGCATACAAAAGAAAAAAGATGAGTAATACAAAAAACGTTTTTGCAAGATTTTTAAGTCTCTTCTGCTCACCAAGCCTGCATTTATTTGATCCAAAGTACAGCAAAAACAGTCAAATTTCGAAATATTTTTACTTTTATATAAATAACATAGAAAAATTATAGAATTATATTTGTTTTACATTTGAATATATTTTAAAATGTAATTTATTCCTGTGATTTCAAAGCTGAATTTTTAGCATCATTACCCCAGTCACACATTGCTGCTCAAACAACTTTTATTATTATTATTATTATTATTATTATTATTATGTTGAAAACAGCTGAGTAGAATTTTTTCAGGTTTCTTTGATGAATAGAAAGTTCAGAAGAACAGCATTTGTCTGAAATAGAAATATTTTGTAACATTATAAATGTCTTTATCGTCTCTTTTGATCCATTTAAAGCTTCCTTGCTAAATAAAAGTATTAATTTCTATCATTTATACTGACTACACTTATACTGACTCCAAGCTTTTGAATGGTATAGTGTATAATGTTACAAAAGCTTTTTATTTCGGATAAATCAGAATTAGCTTTATTCGCCAGGTGTGTGAGAATCCAGAAATTCAGAATCAGAATCAGCTTCATTCGCCAAGTGTGCGCAAACACACAAGGAATTTCATAACAAGAAGCTCTTGGTACATACATGCATACATACATACATGCATACATACATACATACACATCTGACATGAGAACAGAAAAAAAAAAACATTTAAAATAGTAAAACTTAATAAATAATGTGTATGAATCTGGAACAGTAGATTTATGTACAGATTTGTGCCTTATTTCTATATAGAACTGTATAAATAAAGAGATATGCATATGTATTTACATAATACTTGAGAAAGAGGCAATAATGGCTGATAAATTGCTAATAAATGCTGATCTTTGGATCTTTCTATTCATCAGAGAATCCTGAAAAAATGTACTCAACCGTTTTAAATATTGATAATGATAATAATAATAATAAATGTTTCTTGAACAGCAAATCAGCATAGAATGATTTCTGAAGGATCATGTGACACTGAAGACTGGAGTAATGATGCTGAAAATTTAGTTTTGATCCCAAGAATAAATTACATTTTAAAATATATTCAAATAGAAAGCTGTTCATTTAAATCATTAAAAATATTTTACAATATTACTGCTTTTGCTGTATTTTGGATCAAAATACAGTGAGCAGAAGAGAATACTTTAAAAAAAATCTTACTGGTAATGTTTAAGTAACATAAGAATAATATGAATATAATGAAGAGTAACAAAAACAATTAAAAATAATTTATAGTGTGTAATAATGAATATGAGAATTTAAAAAAAAAAGATAAGAAAAATATAACAATATTGCAAATTTGCATACACCATCATAAATTAAACATCATTCTCCATTGTGTATTTTTATGTAAATATGTGGTTACAGAGCTGCAGTATAAGCTGACAATGGAGCTTCCAAATTCGAGCAGTAAAGGTTGAGTGACACTTGTGTTCTCTCTCACATCTTCTCAAACAAAACCATTGGACAGGTGTATGATTGGTACACGTTTAACTTGCACCAAAATTCCACGACAGGATCCAGCCGGAGAATCTGTAAGCATACAGACAGCAACGAGTTCCAGAGAGACAGAAAGAACTATCTGGAACAGATTTTGGAGGAAACCTGCTCACCACAAGCCACAGAGATCAGGTGCTTACAAAACTGCATATAACATTTTTTTATTAATTAATGTAATTTAACCTAATATTTTTTGTATTTTTTTTTTTCATTTAATAAATTAATAACATTCTTCTTATACCTACAGCAGTCATTTACAATGTAGAGAAACCAGATCAAATTCCCTCATAGCCGACAGAACAGAAGCCAAAGCAGGGTTCATCACTTCTCTACAGCCTCTGATGATCCAGTGTAGTCCATCTCAGGCCCCTCGACCTCCCACCCTACAGGAATGTGAGGTCATCATACGCCAGCGGTACAATGCTAACAGCCTGCAGTCCCAGGAGGTGAGATCATATATTTCTTAATGCCTTTCAATATATTACATAATCCATTTGAATTTGTCTTCTCTCAGATCCAACGTGTGAAAGCTGTTCTCAAAGACATTGTATTCAACACGAAAATAATTGCAGAGAATTACATTTTCACCAAGGCTTATCTTGCTGATGGTAAAAGGTAATTTTGTTTTTCTTTGCATCTCACCCCAAAATCAAAGGAAAATAAGAAAACTGCAAGAATATATATATATATACCAGTATATATTTTCCAGTGATTGATTTTTAGGTTTTATTGTAAACATGAATAAATGTAATTGTGTACAATTATTTACTTTAAATTACAAAAAAAAGATATACTTTAAAATGTATCTCTTATATTCTGATTCCTTAAAAAGACTCAAACAAAATACATCTAACCCATTTGTAAAAACCACTGTTTTAATAAGGCATGAGTCACAGGCTGAGCTGGGAGAAACACCGGTACTATCTCAATCCTCTCCCATTTGGGGTAATGCATTATTTGTTCCAGGGAAATCAGACATGGGCTTTAAGCTGTGGTTACAGAAAGGCTTAGAGAAGATTGTAGATCTTTATGAAGATAATATACTGATGCCCTTTGAAACTTTAAAGGAAAGATACAAAATTCCTCAGTCTCATTTTTTTAAGTATCTTCAGATCCGTAATTTTATACGATCTAGGACTCATTCATATCAGTGTCCTACTCCAAGTAGTTTAGAAGAAATGGAAGTTAAAGTTCCCAGTGCTAAATACAACATTTATACGCTGTATAGCAAAATTGTTAATGCTTCCAAAGAATCTACAAATCATAAAAGATTGGCTTGGATTGATGATCTTCAGATGGATGTTACAGAAAATGAGTGGGAAGAAAGTTGTGTTCAAGCGCAAACATTGTCGATCAATACCCGTTTTAAACTAATCCAGTATAATTGGATAATGAGAACATATATAACACCAGAAAAGTTGAATAAATTTAATCGAAATATTTTGGACATTTGACTTACAAGGGAACACTATTTCATTGTATTTGGCAATGTGAGTACTTAGTCCTTCTGGAAAGAATTAGTAGGTGTAATATCTAAAACTAGAGGTAAAGAAATCCTGGTTTGCCCTACAATCTGTATTCTTGGTCTTCTTCCACCCGCCTCATCTTTGAAAACATATGAACAGAAGTTTGTAAACCTGTGTCTACTACACACGAAACGCCTGATTGCCATTCACTGGAAAAGTATTCATGGTCCATCTCTGTCACTCTGGATTAAAGAATTGTCTTCTTGTATAGCAATGGAAAGACTAATTTACTCAATTAAACAAAAAATGCACATATTTTACAAGATCTTGGTCTCCTTCCTACGTTTTTTAGATCAGAATGGACTGACTCTTGAGTAATACCAAATAATGTGATCATGCCCAAGTGTTTAATGGCAGTTGACTAAAGTGTGAACTGTTTCTGATTCATTTTAACATTTTTTTGTTTTTCATTGGTAATTACATATGCTGAACTGTCATTTTCTTAAGGCATTTTACAATAATGGCCCTTTATTTTTTTATGTGTATGTGTAAATGTTTCTTATGGCTCTTATGTCGGGGGTAGTGTGGGTGTTCTTTGGTTGGAGTTTGGTTACAGTTACAATATATATGTAATTCCTTTTCTTAATATTTTGAAACAATAAAAAAAAGTATCTAAACAAAATGTATCTCTTACATTATGGTAAAAAGATCAGAGTGACTTCACAAAGTTTGAGCAAATATGATATCGTTTTCCAATATATATTCAGATGGCCTTTTACCCTTACCTTCATTTTTTGGCAGAGCTGACGAATCAGACACATTTCCTCAGCTTTCTCTCCAAACACTGCCTAAAGGACTGTAAGTCATTGCTTGTAAATATCTGTATATAACATGTATATTATATATATATAGTTTCCAACCTGACTGACAAACAGTTCAGTTTTGGAGATATGAACCTTTGCTCTGTTACTATTTGAACAGACCTGTGTCTCAGGCTAGTAAAGCAGAGAAAGTGATCCTCCCTGCCCTCAAACAGCCCCTCAATAACGTAGCAGACAGACACGGGAGGATTCAGGCTGTGCAGAGACGTCGTCTACAGAGGACTATGCGCTGAAGGACCAGTCATGTGGTTACGTGACTTCTGTGCCACACATTTCAGACTGAAACAGCAGTTTAAATGTCTTTATTAATGAAGCAATGCACAAACAGTTAAGGCCTTAGTGTACGTGACTAAACAAAACAGATTATAATTCAGGTAAATAAAAAATGACTAAGTATTAATATATTGCCATCATTCCATAGAGGTGCAAGGATTATACTGGGCTGATAGTGCTGATGGGAATACATTCTAAGCAGCTGAAAGGCAAGCCTGCCTCACGCTTTGAGCCCAGGTGTTCAGCAGCGCCGTCACCGAGTGCTTGTCAGGAAGCTGAAGGAGTTTAGAGGTCATGTTCTTATGCACACTCTGCAAGAAGGGGTTGGCCTCTGAGGAACAGAGTGAGGGACGCAAGGAAGTGATGAGTTAATGCATTTCACAGCCTATGGATTTTCATTTAAATTGGGAGCTTAAGAGTGTTTGCATTTTAAAAGGCAGCCTAAGATAGCATGCTGACATTTAATGCACAAATCAGGCTTAGACTCACCATACTGCTGACCGTCATCTTCCCAGTGGGGGCTCTGATCGGGGTAGTCCGCTGGAATGCTCAGCTGAAGAGGGGGAACACTGGGAAGATTTTTATCATCTAGACAAAGACAATGACAGGAGTGAATAGACCCAATATATATATATATATTTTTTTTTACATCTAAAGGGCGCATATAGTGGGCACAGGGCCTGAACTGACCTAGTTTACATATGAGATGCACCGTTCCATTGTTGCTGCAAAAGGACGGGTCTAGATTGACCAGGAATTTGGAATGAAGACGAGCCACCTCCCCTTGAAGTATGTTAGGGATGGTCTGGCGCTCGTCATCCTCCAGCTTCCGTTTACGGGAAGGAATTGAGGGACCCCTGGAATTAAAGATTATGCATTTTAATGTTTAAATTTAGGAGTTAAGGCTGGGTGGTATATATACACCATACACTGCTTTTCATTTTTAAACTCAAAACTATATATTGTGAAAAGCTTAATGAGGTTATTAAAAAAGCATTTAATACATATGTATAACATGGCTATGTAATATAAACTCCATTATAAAATTACTACTATTGTGATATAACGTTTATAATAGATATTATCATTCGAAAGTTTAGTCATTACGTTTTTTTTTTTTATCAAGTGACAGTAAAGACATTTACAATATTACAAAAGATTTCTATTTCAACTAAATGCTGTTCTTTCAAAGTTTTTATTCTTCAAAGAATCCTTATAAAACTATCAGTTTCTACAAAAATAATAAAAAGCACCACTGCTTTCAACACTAATGATAATAATAAGAAATGTTTCTCAAGCATTGTTATATATTATATATTAGAATCATTTCTGAAGGATCATGTGACACTGAAGACTACAGTAATGACTTGTGAAAATTCAGCTTTGTCAAAGAAATTACATTTTAAAATATAGCAAAATAGAAGTTATTTAAAATTGTAATTATATTTCACAATATTACTGTATTTTTTATAAAATAAAAGAAACATTCAAAAACATCTGAAAGGTAGTGTTCATTATATACCACAAAAGCAATGCCCTGATGATTTAAAATGTAGGCCTGTTATTTGTAAAGTTTTACATTAAAGGGATAGTTCACCCAAAAATGAAATTTCTGACCCTCCCATAAACAGCAATGTAATTACCAAGATCAAGGTCCAGAAACGTAGCAAGGACATCGGTAAAATAATCCATGTGACATCAGGGGTTCAACCAGTTTTACGAAGCTAAGAGAATACTTTTTGTGCGCAAAGAAAAAAAAAATAAATAAAAAACTTTATTCAACAATTCGTCTCCGAGGAGCCTACAGATCTCCTTGCTACGTCTCTGGACTTGGGAACATTTCAGTTGTATTGCTATCTATGGGAGGGTTAGAGAGCTCTCAGAATTCATCAAAAATATCTTAATTTGTGTTCCGAAGACGAACGGAGGTCTTACGGGTTTGGAACGACATGAGGGTGAGTAATTAATGACAGAATTTTCATTTTTGGGTGAACTATCCCTTTAAGGAAGATAACCGACTTAAATGAGAGAAAATACAGATTTTTTCAGCTGTTGATCTTACGTGATTGGGGGTCCGTGAATTGCTGTCATAGCAGGAGCAAACGTGCGGTAAAGTGAATGGTTGAAAACCGGGGAGCGGATGTTGGCCAAGACAGCATCCAGCAGCGGCTGGCACAGGTACTGCTTTTTGGTAGAGGGCACTGGAGGAGGGGGAGGAGTCGGCTGCAAACCAAAGTCAGACGTCATTGTAGAAATTGGTTAAACAATAGAACTTAACTTTGACTCCCTATCTTGAAACAAAAGTTACTTACCACTGCCATGTCATTCTTTAGTTTCTCCAATGCTATTTCACACTTCTGTAGTGTTTTAAGTGGACATCTAGTGAAGGACAGCAATAACACAACCTTAATCACAAGACAAAGATCCGACACTGGAGACAATATTCAGCATGTCTGGTTTCTTACCTTGTGTTGGGGTCAGTCAAAATGTTGAGCAAACTTTTCATTTTGCTCAAATCCTTCTTCCTATCTGTAAAGACCAAACATAAACCATGATCTTTAAGATCCAAGTGGGGAAAAAAAATCAGCATCAAAAGAGAAGAAATCTCCAGTACCTTCATTTTTGTCTATTTTGTTAATCATTCTTCGCAGCGGCTCGATATATTTTGACAGCTGCTTCAGTTTGTCCATGTAAAGCTGGTCCTCAGATTGTGAGGCCCCTGCTGGGCTCATTACAGAGCTTGGATTGCCTGTAATCCAAAAAATAAAGAAATAAAATAATTATGATTGCAACAAAATTACAATTCTGGCCAGCAGTGATAAGTAAATAATAATTGTTATATCTAATGTCTAATTAAATGAAATAATTGTTATGTCTAATGTCTAATTAAATATAAAATTATATAATAAATAAATAAAAAATACATAAAAACTAAAAATCTATCATTTTAAATGTTACAATTGAATTTAGGCATCACAAAATTATAATGTGCAGTATTAAAATGAATTTTGAGATTTGCTAAAGATTACATTCAACAGTGTGACTGAATTGATCAGTTTTTAAAGATTAAGTGAGAAATAGATGAAGGAAATATAAAGTCCGAAATTCTCGTCCAACATTTTCATCATTAAAAAATAAATACAACCTCACATTGTGTCAATCACGTTTACACACTGCCTCTGAAACTTTCGTCCATCATAAAAAAATTCGGACCAGGTTCGATTTTCTGCGTTTTTGCATCCGTAGCAAGCATTTTGATAGGAAAGGATGACGAATATGAAAAGAAAAACAAAAACGCATACAAAAGTTTCGGACTCAGTGTGCAAAGACCTTAAGTGTAAAAAACACGGAATGTAAAAAACAAGTATGCACAATTAAATATTCAATATTAACTAATAGGCCTGGGCGATAAAACTGTATCGATATTTATCGACGGTACACCTTCTTCGATGACGATATTAAAAATGTTCGATATAGTGCACGATATAGACACGTGCTATGAGTGACGCAGACAGCACACACAAACACGAACACGAACATGAGTGCTGTGCCTGCCTGTGATGAGGAGATTGTGAATAAAAAAATGAATATTAGTCGAAATTAAAATAAACATTTGCATTTGAATGCAAAAATAGTACAATCGAATGTTAGGTGTGCATCAGGGAGCGTCATCAGTGGCGCATGAGATGCGGTGATGATGTTGTAAGTGATGTTGTAGTTTAACGTTTTGTTAGTCTAGCCCACGAGACGCGCAGTTGCTGCGTTATTTATTCAAAATGTTAGCGATATATAGTAGCTCAATGCGTAGAAGATCTTGATTAGGTTAAAACCGAACCCAAGCCATTCACACAGAACGCATATTCAGCGCATTTTCTAGACAGACAAATATAACTGCTGCACTCGCGTTACACAAGAGATGTATAGAAAGCCATGCAAAGTTAAAACAGTTTAAACTTTTAGAAAACACGTCACAAATTTGTGGAGGTTTATTCCTTTTCACTGCGTCTCATATGTTTTTAAAGGCAATCTGTGTGTATTAAGCAATGCATAAATACGTGATGCTGTTTTGTTCACAATTGTTTATGCAATTTACGAAATTATATTTGATTTATATGAGTTAATTTAGACGTAATGCACGTTTTTTTTATAGACAGTTATTTCCTTGCATTGACAATTTAACGTGCTGCATTATTTTGCTCATTGCGCCCTCCTGTGGCCTCGGGAAACAAGCCAAAAGTTTAAAGGGATAGTTCACCCAAAAATGAAAATTCTGTCATTAATTACTCACCCTCATGTCGTTTCGTAAGACCATCGTTCATCTTCGGAACACAAATTAAGATATTTTTGATGGAATCTGAGAGCTGTCTGACCCTGCATAGACGGCAATACAACTGAAATGTTCCCAAGTCCAGAACCGTAGCAAGGAGATCTGTAAAATAATCCATGTGACATCAGGGGTTCAACCGTAATTTTACAAAGCTACGAGAATAATTTTTGTGCGCAAAAGAAAAAAAAAAACGACTT